GTCCCTCCTTATATCAACAAAAGCTCCACACACAACAATTCAGTTTTGGACTTGATCTGAGCACAAAAACAAATAGCACCAACTTCCAAAGAAGAACTATGACGAGATTGATTTTCACTACAACATTAATCAATAACGTGTAAGTTCCACCACAACATTAATCAATAAGAAAGATCCTAACACACATGAAATCAGACTAACGAGTAGAGAAAACAGGTCATCTACGACCTATGACGAGACTGATTTTCACCACAACATTAATCAATAATGTGTAAGTTCCACCACAACATTAATCAATAAGAGAGATCCTAACACACATGAAATCAGACTAACGAGCAGAGAAAACAGGTCATCTACGACCTACAGTCACCATTTCATAGGTACAGGATCACACGATCCAACAAATGAAAGATATAACCCTCACAAAAGTCTACCAACATTTACAGGATCACACGATCCAACAAATAAAAGATATAACCCTCACAAAAGTCTACCAACATTCAGTGGTGTGGATTCATTTGCTCTCCACTTGGTACACGACCAAGGAAAGAAATAAAAGAAGAAAGAAAAACTTTAGGGTTGTACTAGTTGCAGATCTGATTTGATCAGCCCAGATTCAGTCCTCTGTTCCGCCCAGATTCAACAACTTGAAGAGAAAAAACTTGGTTGCCCAGATTCAACAGCCTTGCTTTGATACCATCTTGATAATAAATCCAGTTGAAATATGAGGAAGTAGAGAAGAGAAGGAAAACAGAGAGAAAGGAAGAAGAAAAAGTTTGGAGCAATAGAACCGTGCTGGCGGCGCCAACTTTTATTATATTATATAGGGCGGCAGAAATAAGAAGGGAAAACACTTTAACTAGCCAAACAGACCCTAACACAAATAACTAAATTATTTCAATAGAGTTCATAAAGATCAGATGTTTATCATGCTTGTGTAAGACAATGGATTTATACAAGTACATTAAACCAGTCGACCCGACATAAATCTGGGGTAGACCAGACTAGGTTAAATCAATTATCTGCTAATTGTTTACAAGTTTATAAACAATTTGATAGCTAGGACCTTTTTAGAATGACAATATTCTAGAATTGTAATGTGCACAAGGGGGAAACTGGAAAAAGACAGAATAGGAAGACTCTAGAAGATGGAGCCTCAAATCACTATAAATAGGGCCTCATATTCATATGAGGACCCATTAATCCATTGGCAGTACCCATAAACACAAGGCAATAAACCCATTATAGAGGAGAGAGAACCCAGATTCTCTCTCTCTCTCATCCCTTCCCTCTTCTACCGACCTCTGTAACCACTATTTCTCTTGACCTTTGGAGTCAAGCCACCATGACTGCCTCACCAAAGCCCGTCCACTTACAACTTGTCAAGGTGATGCCTAGGCAATGACATTTTTTTTGTGTTGCATAATATTGTGTATATAATTATGTACATGTATTTTGGCAAATTATAAAGATACCTCCAATATAATACCTACTTTTCTCTTTTTCCATTAGATTATCTATTTTCTCATGATATACTTGTAATATTATCCTATCAAGTTGTCCAAATGTGTCAATTTAACAAGTAGGACCCAATAATCCCAATTACAGACCCTATAGGGTCTGGTTTAGAATTGGTTTTGCACATGTACTTATCAAATTGTCTGGGTCTTGATCCATTGGCAACTACATTAAGGTGATGCTTTGCCTTGCCTTAGTGCCTTGATAACCATGATATTGATATTGCTGCTTAGCCACTTGTGATTGGAGAATATTATTGATTAATGAGTCATGAAGAGAATATTTGAAACTTAACATTTGAAAAAGTGTTGAGAAGGACATAAGATCTTCTCAGATGTGCAAAGGAAATGTGATTTGGGCATGAAAATGGCTTGGGAATTGGTAATGTCAGGTTGAAAAAGTTGTTTCAAGCATTTGAAACTTGCACAAAGTTGTTGCAAGTATTCATGGCATGTCAAGCAACGGATGGGATGCTGGTTGTCTTCATAGAGCTACTCTGCCTACTCCTTGAAAGGCCATTCATGAGATTCTTCCTGGTTTCCTCAATCATGTCAGGTATGGTTTGGCTTTGGGTCAGGAAGTTAGGTTTTGGGAGGATGTATGGATTGGGGATCTCCCTTCGGGGGAGAGCTTTCCTTCACGTTTTTGCTCTTTCCAATCTTAAGTGTAAACCTGTGTCTGAGTTTTTGAGCCAACATTCTTTCAGGGTTGAACTGGAACTTTGGTTTTAACAGAAAGCCAGAAACCGTACAGAATCTGAAATCCCTAGTGTGTTTAAGCTTTTGGGCATTCTAAATTCAGTGGTTTTGGGAGAAGGTGGCTTGGATTGTAGGGTTTGGGGCCTTCAGGGTTGAACTGGAACTTTGGTTTTAACAGAAAGTCAGAAACCTTACAGAATCGGAAATCCCTAGTGTGTCCGAGCTTTTAGGCTTGCTAAATTTAGTGGTTTTGGGAGAAGGTGGCTTGGATTCTAGGGTTTGGGGCTTTAATCTTGATGCTTTGTTCTCATGTATGCAACGTTGAAACTTGCAAGTATCTATATGGTAAGCCCCGCATCAGGTGTATTGTATCATATCTTTAGGTTCCCGATACACTTGCTTTCATGTGTTTTCGGAGACCTTTTTTTTTGATAAATGAATGAATTTTATTAAGCACCAAAGATAAGGAATAAGGAGAGACATGAGATGCGACCTCTCCAGAAAAGTTAGATACAGCTTTCCAAACTTGCTAGAACAAGTTACAAACTAGCCCAAAAAATGCCTTCCCTAGATACCCCTTGCTTGGCCAAGGAATCAGCCATGGTATTTGCTGACTTGCTTACCCATTTCACATCAACTCTCATATTACTGGTTAGCCACTTCACTTTTTTGAGGTCTCTATAGCCCCAAAAGGCGGTATTCGGGTTTGACAGCCATCCTACTACCACTTGAGAATCTCCTTCAATTAAAAGACTTTCCACCCCAAGTTGGTTGGTAAGCTGGATCCCTTGAACAACAGCTAGTAACTCAGCTCTTGTAGAGTCTCCCACTCCCATTGGTCTTGAGAACAAGGAAATAATGTTGCTGTCCTTATTCCTTAGCACACCCTCTAGATCCGAAGGCCCAGGGTTACCTTGACTGCTCCTATCAAAGTTCAATTTAATGACACCTTCTGGAGGAGGTTCCCACTCTACCACCCTTCTATTCTTCCTAGTGGAGGTATTAGCCACTTCTAACCAATTCCTCCAAAGATCATCGAAGGAGAATTCAACAAACAAGGCCAATGTCTTCATCCAATGAATTACTCTAGTTAAGATACAGTCCTTCACTTCAACAAAACTGCTTTCCTTCTCTGGGAAAGTTCTAGCATTCCTTTCCTCCCAAACAGTGCAGTCCATAATATAGCTGCCCTAATATATTTCCACATGATTTTATCTCTTTTCGTGTGCCACCCTAAAGTAGATGGATTAAACAACATACTTACATTAGACGGTGGGTTCCACCTACATCCAAATAAATTAAAGCTCCAATTCCATAAGGCTGCAACGAAGGAGCAAAAATCAGTAGATGATAACAGCCTTGAAACTGAAATTTGAAAAAAAAACTAAAAAATAAAAGGCACATGGTTCAAAGTGCCGATACACCTCTCCCGATACAAAATACATTGAACCATGCTTGTAAGTCTTTCTTTAATCCCTTGGTAGCCACCTCCCCTTCTCCTTCTTTCCTGGTCAAGGAAGTTTGGTGTTTTCCTATCCCCTAAAAAATCATTGTTTTCTGTTGGGAAGTGTTTTGTGGTTGTGATACCTTTGACTTGCTTCAAAGAAAAAAACCAAACTGGTGTTTACACCCCCCCTCCAGCTGGTGCTTCCTTTGTAAGTTAAATGGTGAGACTGCTTTTTATCTCTTAATCTCCTGCCCTTTTGTTAGCTTTATTTGGAATTGGTTCCTTCTCTTTTTGGTTGCAGATGGTCTTCTGGCAATTTGGAAGGATTGTTAATCCCTATTGTTTTTAGCTGTACTAAAAGGAGGGACAGGATTTTGGGGAGATGTATTAGAGCAGTGGTGCTTTGGATAGTTTGGGTGGAAAGGAACTCAAGAATCCTTGAAGATAAGGAAAGAAGTAAGGAAACTCTGGTAGAAGTCATAACTCTAAGAGTGGCACATTTGGCTAAAAGTCTGAAACTTTTCGCAGATTTTAAAGTTGAGGACTTCTTCAGGTCTTGGGGTGTAATTTCTGCCTCATCATCCAGAAAACAGAAAATAATTGAAGAATGGTCACCCCCAAATTATGGCTGGAAGAAACTGAATTTTGGTGGAAGTTGTGTTGGCAATCTGGGCCTATCAGGCATAGGAGGGGGGGCTATTAGGGATAAAGAAGGAAACATCATAGCCTTATACTTAGGACCAGATGAACAAGAAGATATGGTTAGATCAGTGCTATTGGCTGCAGTATATATGGGGTTGAGTAGGCCGAAGATTTGGGTATTGATAGATTGATCATTGAGGGTGATTTGAGAACTGTTGTGAAATGGCCGTAAAGGGGGAAGGGGTGTCATGGCATCTAAGAAATGAACTCAGGTGATTTAAATGGCTGTCAAAAGACATGGCAATCCAAGTTAAATGGGTTAGGAGAACTGCCAACAGTCTGGCAGATGGTTTAGCTAAGCAAGGGGTACAAAGAAACTTCCTTGTATTGGGCTCAATTGTAATTCTTGGGTTGGGTCAGCTTCTCTGAAGCTGTTTTTCTCTTTTTCCACAACCTCTTGTTGTAATTATTTTCTCTATTTTTAACGAAATCATTTCTGTGTTGCTGATGAAAAAATGAAGATAGTCTTACAATCGGGGATTTTTTCTGAGGGGGTGTATCATGGAAAACTAATACCTCTGACAAGATTCAAAAGAAGAGACCTACTTGGTGTTTTTCTCCTCGTGTTTGTATTATGTGATTTTTTGCTAGCATGGAGCCGTCATCCATTTACTAATCTTCTATTCATTTGGTAGTGGTTTATCTTGCTTTTTGATAACAGGTGGGTCTCCCCCTTCGAATGTGGCTGTTTTTCTCCCAAGGTAAAGGAGGAAGATTATGTGGAGATGCAATAGAGAAGCAATCATTTGGATGATTTGGGAAGAAGAAATGCAAGGAATTTCAATTGGAAAAGTTGTTCTAAGGAAAGGATCTTTGAATGCATCAAAGTTAAGGTGGTGCTTTGGTTGAACAATGAACATATTTGCCCCATTCTTAGTGGGTGATAACTTAAAGAGTGTGGTGGCAAGTTCATCTACCAAAGGAATAGTGCATCAACGGCAGTAGCAACCATCTTGGACTAGTCATATTTTTGACATTGATAGAAGTAGCCTTTGTAATCAAGGTCCATCAGGAGTATGTGTGTTTAGAGATGAGTATGGATCAATATTAGCTTTATTTCCAGGCCCTATTGGAATTGGGAACTCTAGAGCAAAGCTATTAACTGTTCTACAAGATTTGAGATTTGTAAAGATGATGAATTTTGGAAATATTGTGGTTGAAGATGATACCAAACTCCAAAGTAGTGGTATAAAGAACTTAATAAGGAAATCAAATGGTTGACAAGGGAGTTAGACATAACTTTTCATTGGGTGTAAAGTTAATGCTTTGGTTGGAATGTGGGTAACAACAAGTCAACAACCATGACATAGAAGTGGGTAACAGCAACCATGACATAGAAAATGATTATGTCATCTACAAATTACAAGTGGGTAACAACAACCTAATTCCTACCAATCCTCCAACCTCTGACCAGGTTGTCTAGATCAGCCTTGATAATCAATCTGCTTAGAACTTTGGCAACAAAAGTAAACAGGAATGGAGAAATAAAATCTTCCTTTCTTAATCCTCTTTTTACTGGGAAGAAATCCCTAGCTATTCCATTTATCAGAATTGAGAAATATATCGAGCTAATGCACCCTTTAATCAACTTTCTCCATCTCTCTCTCAAGCCAAAATTTTCCAAAAGAAGAAGGAATGACCAGCCCACCATATCATAGGCTTTTTCCAAATCTAACTTGCAAATTAGACCTCTCCCTCCCTGTTTCTGTTCTTTTAGCTACAAACTCATTTGCCTCTAGGATTTGGTCTATAATTTGTCTCCCTTAAACTAAGGCTCCTTGGTTCCGAGATATCACTGAAGGCAAAATTGTTTTCAACTTGCCTGCCAAGACTTCAACAATGATCTTATAAAGGCTTCCTATAAGACTTGTAGGCTTGTAGTCTTTTGGAGTTCCAACATCTTTCCTATAGACTTGTAGAAAATTCGTTAGGAGTGGGAGCTTTGGATCTTTCCATTGAGAGAATTGCATTATGAACCTCTTCCACAGTGAAGTTCCTTCCTAAGAGGGCTGCTTGTGTTTCAAGCACTCTATTCCAATCCAAATCCCCCAAATCAAGGTGCCTATTTCCTATGGTGGCAAAGATTGACTTAAAATGGTTCACAAAGTTCTTAACAATTTCCTCCTCCCTATTTATCTCCCGACCTTCTATCTCTATGCTAGAGATCGGATATTTCTTTCTTTCATTTACCAATGAGTGGAAGAACTTTGTATGCCATCTCCTTTCAGCAGCCATTGCATCTTGATTTTTGTCTCGAAGCGATTTCTTCCTTCCTTAAGATCCCTTCTAATTCCATTTCTAGGCTCCACTTTTCCATTCTTTCCTCCACACTAGTCTCTCTTGTAGCCTCCTTCTACTCTAGCTCCTCTATCCTTTTAGCAGTTCTCTCTTTTGAATCCTCTAACCTCCCAAATTCTTTTTTATTCCATTATTTGGTCATTCTTTCAATCTCTTTAGTTTCTTAGTAAATCTCCCCCCTTATTCCTCACATTGATTCTACTCTCCTCCTACCAACCTTTTATTTGTTCAATGAACTTTAGGATTTCCTTTAACCATTTACACCTTGATTTTTGTCTCCAACAAATTTTCTCCCTTCTTAGTAACAATTCCATTTCTACCTTCAATTCCAATATTTTTTTCCCTTCCTCCTCCAAACCCCTGCCATCCTTTGCTTCTTTCTTGTCCAACATTTCTATTTGATTCAACAGATTCAATTTATTTTCCTCAACTGAACAGAAAATTTGGTGATTCCACTCCTTCAGTTTCCCCTTAATCTCTTTTGGTTTTTGTATAAACTGAAAGCCTTCCCACCCCTCCAATGGGTACCCTTTTCACCAATCCTCAATATTTTTCTTGAAGAAAGGTTGTGGTCTACATATTCTCAACTTTAAAGGGATTAGGCCCAAAAGAAATCTTATCCGATTGCAACATTAGAGGCCAATGATCAAAGATAGGCCTAGCCAATGTCTTCACCATCACAGGCTCAAAATACTTTTCCCACCCTGTGGGTGACTAGGAATCTGTCCAGTCTAGAGCGAACTGCATTTTCTTGCATGGACCATGTAAATTGTGCATTTAAGGAAGATTTCTTAACATACAATTTGAAATAAAATTATTGAAGGTCTTCATGCTTTTGGAAACTCTAGAAGTTCTAGTATTGTTTTCAACAAAAAACGGGTGACCATAGTTTTCAAGGTGCCAAGGCGAGGCTAGGTGACCATGGGGCACCCAGGCAGGCACCTAGCCCTCACCTAGGTGATGGAATTTAAAAATAAGGCTTGCCGATGGATTTCTACCCCTTTTGAACTAGTTTTTTTTTTGGGTTTTATGTATTCTGCACTTACTTTTGTGCTTGTATTTCTTGCAGTGTTGCTTCAAGTAGGCAAAACAATATATTAGAGTTGCAACTTACAAGTTAGACATTGGAACTTGAAAGAACTGAAGGGGGCGGATCCCCTATTTTAGATCAACAATACATAGGGAACAAATACTAAAATAAAGAAGAAAATGAAAAAGAAAAGTAGGGGACTGAGCCCCTGTTCTAGACCCAGAAAAGCTGGTGAAAAAATATTAAAATGAAAGAAGAAATATGAAGAAGAAGAAAAGAAGGCCCCTGTTTCAGAAACCAATGGTGAGAACAAAAAAAGCTGAAAAATGCAAGAAATTAAGAACAAAAGAAAGGGGGGGGGGGTGCCCCTGTTCTAGACCCAGAAAATCTGGTGAAAAAAAATACTAAAATAAAAGAAGAATATGAAGAATAAAATAAGGGGCGGAGCCCCTGTTTCAGACACCAATAATGAGAAAAAAAAAAGCTGAAAACATGCAGGAAATTTAAGAACAAAAGGAGGCGGAGCCCCTGTTTTAGTCCAATAAAATGATTCAAAAAACTTGGAGAAAAGATACAAAAAGGAAGAGGAGAAAAATGCGGCATAACCACTGTTTTAAACCAGGAAACAGAGAACAAAACTAAGAAGAAGAAGAAGAAGAAGAAGAAGAAGAAGAAGAAGAAGAAGAAGAAGAAGAAGAATTGTCAAAGTAAAACCCTCGAAGATTAATTTTGTATTTACTTTCCTCAAAACAAAAGCATGATAACATGCAATAGGTTCTATTATAAAAACTAAAACACCCAATAAAATATTATATATTTTATTTTTCTTAATAAATATTGATATAGTAAATATTTACTTCAGCCCCCTAAGCATGCGCCTAACATAGTTGTTGGCGTTTGGGCGAGGCGTTCTTTGAAAAGTGCCTAGTCACCTATGACATTAAAATCTCTCGCCAAACACACGTTCTACTACCGCCAAAGAGCTCCTTGTGCAACCCACTCCTTTTCTCTAAATTTCATTGTCACTGTAAAAAGAACCCACCGTTTTCTCCATCAACTCTACTTGACTCTCTTCCCATGTTGTAAGAATTCCACCTGGAGATCCCACAATAGGGTAGAGCCCAATGCTCATTCCTCAAACGCCAGATACTTCTCATCCAAACCTCATTAATAATCTCAATTTTTGTTTCATTAAGTAAAATGATAGATGACTTTAGTCTTTAAAAATAATTCTTTACAACTCTTGTCTTTCTTGCACTCCCCAAGCCTCTTACATCCCCCTAGGTGACTCCCACCATTTTTCCTTCTTCAAGCAAATGTTCTCATCGTTTTAAGACCTACAAGTAAGGATTTCTACTTCACACCATTTTTGGGGTTTTGTTGATTATTCTTTTTTATTCAGCTGAACCAATTGGATACCCATTGTATGTGGATTCCCCAAATCATTCTAAATCCCCTCTTTTTCTACCCCTTTTCTAATCCCAACATTCCCTGTCTCTTCCCTATCTCTGTCCTCTTCCCTCCCCCCTCTCGTCCCTTCCTCTGAATAGTCTAACATCAAAAGCTAAATTCCCTCCCCATACTCACCTAAATTCTCAATTTCACTTTGCGTTTTCCTAGACGGAAGCTCTTCCCAGCATAAGATGGCACTTGGTGTTTTTTAAATATCTTGACATTCTTTGTTACCTGCAAAAATGTTATCCTCGCAACACAAGGTGTAGTAAGAGAAGAACCTGGTGAGGGAATAGAAGTACCTGATTTGATTGAATGCAAGTTTGGTGGTATTTGTGGATGAAAGACTTGGGGTCAAATCCCCCATCTAAGTTGCGATTTCGTCTGAGAAAGGCTTTTTTCACCACTTATTTGCTATGAAAAGATTCCACCGAAGCGTCTGTTACTAAACCATCTCTAACCCCAAGAGCTTTTCTTTGCTGTTTGACAAGGGTAAATCACCAGACCCACACTTGGTTGACTGACCGCTGCTTCTCTCCTGTCCTCTTCATCTAGAGCTTCCGGAGAAGGTTGAATTGAACATGATCTTCCCTTTTACACTGGTTAGCATTGTACAATCTCGTTAAACCCCCTTCAAAATTGCTTCCCAAATCTGAATCACAGACGTGCATGAGACTTCCCTCTATTTCAAAACTGCTCACAAAATTTCATAGAGAAATTATATTCCTAGAGCAACTGTTTTGGCTTTCACAGATATCAATTGGTTCTAGGAGAATCTGTGAATAATTAAATCTGATCAGAAACCTTTATAGGCCAAATTGCACGCCTTAGATTGTTTCCATAAACATTTCTAAAGCTGCAAATTAACTTTCTTGAGTCATTCCTTTAATTGTTCATCCCACCTAGCTCCTTAGGACTACTTGTCCGACATCAAGATATCAGAGAAATTAATTGGGTGTGACAGCTGATTGAGGTGTCTAATGAGTGGTTATAATTTGAAAGTTGACTTGCAGAACTCTTAAAGTTTGACAAGATAAACTATACATCTGAAATCCATGAGATAAATTTATACTGGTTTATGCTAATAAATCAGATCTGTCAATGTCTGTTCCACAAGAAACGGGTGTAGATTATACTGATAAAACATAGATGACAACATATAATGATTCATTGCAATTAATTGCATCAACAAAGAATAAGAAACCATAATCTTTTTCCTTTCTAGTTTTGTTCAATTAACTCTAATTAATTGTTTCTCACCTGAAAATAAAGTTCTTCAGAAGTGCAAAAACCTCCAATGGAGTTCTTTGAGTCGTGAATGTAAATCTGGTCTGGATCCCTAGGGAGAAAAACACTGTTGCAGACAGCCTTGCAAAATCAGGGTTTT